CATCAATCGCAATAAAAACAAATCTTTTTGGCAGGCCGAACAAAAATGTGTTTCAGATGATCCATCCATTTTTGAGGTTTTAGCATTTTGTTCATATTTTCTTCGATTAAAAGCGATAGTGACAGTTTGTTCGTGACTTCTCGTTGACATTTCCGGTAACAAGAGTAATTTGGGAAGTAAAAAAAATAAACAACAATTATGAGTTGGTGCGGTGCCCAGCACAGACAAATTATTAGGAGAAGAAAATCTTGGACTGGACTTTCCAACAAACAAGGAAACTACAACGAACAGCTTTGAGTTAATTATATCACAGCTGTTTTTCTTAAAAAATTACAAAAAGTCTACTGCTTCTCCTTCAAAAACCACTGATAGCTTTTCTCACCCCCTGGGAACAAAAGATAGAACATTGATCCATACACCTTTCAGCTCTATCTGTACATCGTCTGTCGCCAACGCAGTTATCGACAAAAAAACGAAGAACCGTGGAATCGCTGAGGAAGTCCAATAATTTTATCAGGATCTATACGACCAAGCCTCGGGGCAATAGAATTTGCTCGTGGTCTGATAACAAAATGCGGGGCTGTGTAACACATTTCTTTTTTCCGGCCAGACTTGGCAATGATACTAAATAAACAATACGTAAATGCAACAGAAGTGCAAGATGTGCTGATCAATTAACTACCCTTTCTTTCATGTACAATGTACCGTGTCTATCAGAATCATTTTTGCAACGCCATAAATAGATGCTGTATGTGTAGTGGATTTCGTTCATGGATGAGGGATAGAAACTTGAATTTCTAACCAACACCGTTCTGCAATTGCAGTCCTGCTGCGAGGATCATTTCTTTCAGTTGACTGTGCGGTATAGCAGTTTCTGTAACTTTTTTTTTAGGAGACAGTGTACAGTATGCTTCCGTTAATTACCCGTTCCAGACCTTGGTCTTTGATCCAAAGGCGACAACATATGATCAGTCAATCGCTTTCTAATCAAGGATAGATAAGAAGCAATCTTGCAAGAGACACGCAAGCAATTGGATTCACTGGAAGTCTTAGCATAAGCAAATTAAATTATAGCGTTGTTTAATACTAATGACCACTTCAGGTGTTGAATTCAAACATGTCCCAAATCAAAGAAATAAGAGGTAAGAAAGAACCTGCTTGTCATAACTGCACCGGTTAAGTTTTAAGCGGCGTTCTAAAAGCTTGATAGAGTGCTTTTATACACTGTTTCCTCTAATTTGTTTTTGAGAGAAATCTTTTTCAAGAAAGGCTCACATTGTCAGAAAAGGAGTTGGTTGACTATATAAACACGTTTAAGTTTTTGATCACCTTTCAAGTTCCTACCGAGTAATCCGAAGCTTCATCGTCGAAACCTTTGCCTGAAACAAACATTTCTTTTGTTTTAACAAGAAAAATGTTTATCACTCCTTGTTTACACATTTTACATCGTTCATTTTCCGGTTGTATTGAAAAAATCTTGGTGCAATAATAATGCATTTTTTATTTATGAAACAAGCGCTTTTGGATCGCATCACATGACTCATTCTAATGTGTTCATTTTTCAAATTGAAAGAAACATTTTTAACAGCAGTTTAGCGCTACGATCATGTTCCTCAATCCTCAAGTCCATTAGTCTTGACCATTCACATGTTTACAGGAATCTCGATTTTCTTTAGGAACGCATAACTTGTCTTCGCCGGTAAATTTGTTGGCGCTGGTGATACTCCCGTTTGCTTATTGACCACACCAACTAAGATGGGCAGGCAGGGAAAATTTGCTGACATGTTATTCTGTTTTACAATTCTATTAAATAAGAGTTATAGGAAATTCTTCGGTTTTCTACGCTGATATCAACTCTTCAAATCTCCTTAGTTGCGTTCGTGTATTAATTAAATTACTACTCCTTAGAAGCAAACAAAACAATGTTGTTCCCTATTTGCAGTTTCCTGTGTTGTTCACTCTGATCATTATAACTTGTTGTTGCGAAGAGGAAATGGTAAAAGTCACTTCACAGTTTCAACAAGGTTAAAAGGCGTGAAGCCGGTTGACATGAACACATCTGTGGAGTAACCACCAAAGTCTTTCTACTAACAGAAATTAACCAACTTGTCTTGCTCCGATGTCATTTTTCAAGAGTCTCATTGACTTCCCAATATTCTCCGTCTCATGAACTCCCCCAACTTTCAACTATACCTACTTTGCGAGCTAAGCCCCGGTCTTGAGTTTATTTCCTCTTTCTGTTCGTTTGAATAAAAACCCATTCACCCAGAAATGCGCTTAAAAGAAGGTAGCCGAAACAGAATTATTGTAAACTTCAGCATTGAATGTTCTCCAAGGTTCAACGAACGGCCCTAAATCATCTGAGTAAGAGAGAAAATTGTGGTTGTTTACCTCATGTAGCGCAGCAACATGCTTCTCGTGTACATGCAGCTTACCTTGTTCTCTGGTGCAGCAGTCTTCGACACGTCTTCCTTCTGTGTTAACAGAATACGCCACGCATCTTCCGCTTCAAAAGTCTTGGATGAGTAGAGAAATCTGACTGATACTAACAATGATGCGAGTGGAATTTAATCGGCATCACTTACTTATCATCGCAACGATGACAAAGGAGTGACCTCGTCAGAAATTTGAAACAATCAGACTTTGAATGTGTGCTTATCAAAAAATAAACGAACCAGATGCCAGATGATAAACTCAGTGAGTCGATATTAACACTTAAGAGCTAAAAAAAACTAGGAGTACAGAAAGTGGCAATCACACAAGAATCACCAGCGTGACCGACCCCCCAGTTGGGCAACTTCGGAGTAGGTCGAAAATTTTGAATAGCTAAAATAACCAAATGACATACAGTTGTTTTGTTGTAAGGAACATGTTTTGATCCGACAAATGCGCAATCCTTATTTTTTTCAGAAAATAGAAAGAGGATGAGGTGTCCTGGTGTTTCCGTCCATTAATCTTCCATGTCTACATAGCCTGACTAAGTCTTTAATCCCGAACGACGTTTTAAAAGTTCTTTGAAGAACGACACATGACTCCGGAATGTGTTAGGACTAGCCGCGTGCATTTCTGCCAAATGCTGTCGGCATCAGTTCAAAATCCCTCGTCTAAAATTGCCCAGGAGTAAATGGTCAAATTGAATTTCAACCAATCAGTAGGAATTGATCAGAGAAGCCCAGAGAGCTCAAAGGATATTCTCGCGCAAGTGTTTGCTGTAAAATTAACGCGATAACAGTGCTGTCTGCTGACTCAACACAAGTGTGGGAAGACAAAGACGAAGTAAAGACTCGCTTTAAAGGCTTACGTCGTAAAAGTTGAATGGTAATAAACTCTTAGCTGCGAGTAAACGTAAGCTATCAAAACAATGTTATATGTCTTACACAGTCAAGCTGGAGCAAGATATGCGAGAACTGCTGACTGTAATAAGCGGTTATAAGTTCCCGAACAGGAGTAAAATACTCGAGTAATTTTTATCGTGCTCTCGTTATCAGCCTTTTGCGTTCCTACCGCGGTGTTTTGCTGATGAGGGACCTATGCTTGATTAACCAATTAAAAAAAAATGATTTGAGACGTAAACATGACCTTTGATCGTCGCAAAAGTTAAAAAGGTTTAGACAGGAAAAAAAAAAACATCTATCAATAGCTGACTTGACAGACGGCATACGACTAATCGTCTGTTTTTTCTGTGGAGTCTCTTGATATTGATAACTGCGCATTTAACTTTAAAACTGAACAGTCGTAGATTTGCAGTCACAAGTTTTATTAAAAGTAACACATTTCAAAAGACAAATCGGGCAACAATGAAAAGACGAGTGAAACCCCAAGGAGGATCGCGCGCGAATCACGCGATTTCGTCCTGTGCTATCTCGCGTGACTCACAAGTTTTCTCACTTTGTAAAACTTGACATATTTTGTTCTTGAACAAGATACTTTGACCATGATTTATGGCTTGATGTCGGATTTCACTAGGGATAAATAAACACTCTGTCATTATTTCGCTTGAATGTCGAAGAAAAAATTGGGAAAGTGCTTCATTATTCGTGTTCGCCTTTAACAAGATAATTCCTTTGTCAAGTCCGGGGCGAGTGAACGGGGAGCGCTGATTTTCCTTGGAGGCTAGATCAAAGTAAACTACTGCAGGTTTCAAAGGGGAGGATCCAGTAGTCTGCAAAATATTTTGCAGGTCTGAACCTATCAATAACATCACTGACAAGGTGAACGAGAACCCTCACGAATGAAAGTTCCTAGCACGCGTAACAATAATGACGGTCAAAGAGGCAGAGCAGGGTGTACTTCTAGACTGAAACTTTTGCTTTCCCGACGGAAAAAACAAAACAGAACAGTGATGTATCCATCATATTGTTCACGTAATTGTGCTGTGACCCGCGCGGTTTACCTTTGATTTAAGTTCAGGTCCCATGAATCACGCGCAGACCACATTTAAGAAGACTTAAGCCGTATTCTACTGTTGTTTTAAAGATATTTTAGGAGCTATTCCACACTATTAAATTACGATAAAAAAAACGAAAAGATTTAAAGATTAAAGCAAAAGCAAAACAAGGAAGGTCGAAGACGTAAGAGATAAGAAAATTTTCCACAAAGCGACGATAATTTTTTTTGTCTCTAATATTTTACATGAAGGGATATGAGGATATAAAGTTGAGAAAACTTCAGCCTCTGGTCTGTTTCTTCCAACCTTGCATTCCTGGGAGTTTTCTTTATTATCATTGTCACTATTTCCTTAATTTTTTCGGCGGAGGTATATCAGGTATGTCAGAAACTAGCGCTTTATGAAGGAAAGAGTGGTTCTGCAGTTTCGCCCTTTTTAAAACTCTTATAGGTGATCTAGGAGAATTTCTGCTTGAATTATCAAAACAAAACCAAGCAGGCAAGTGATAAGAACAGAAAAAAATATCAATTAGGGGATTATTAGTTGATCCGATGATAAGTTCTCCAAACTAACATCATCCGTTATATGACTGACGTTAAAGAGAATTTACTAATAAGTTCTTGGGCGTGAAGAGGTCAAATAGCTTTACCGAGACTTAACTTTATTTACTTTGCCTTTTACGGTATTGATAAAGGCTCGCAACATTAGTTTGTGAAAGCAGGGTTGTAATTGTATGCTATTCCAATCGACAGTACGGCTTTTAACGATAAGGCAGGACGAATAAGATTTCACCAGCTTATCATGTCTGCTTCTTGATATGACTTAAGCCGGGCAATCATTTGATCGAATTTAGAAGGGCTTAGCTTATTACAGTATGCAAATATATTTATGTCTCGGATAACTTTATTTCTAGGCAATGCGCATTACTTCTACATAAAATCTCAAATATCCTTGACGCCTGCGCCATTAAAATTGAAAATGTTGAGATCACATTCCGTGCAGCGAGAGAGAAAATTGCTAATAGAAATGTTTTGCCTCGTACTCTGAGTATGTAGAAAGCGGAATGCAAACATCAAGTTTGCGTATTTACTGGATGATTTGCCTCTACCTCCAACGTAAACTTCCTCCATCTCCTTTAATACGTTCTCGAAAATATGATTTTCACCCATGGTCAAAAAGGTAAAAGCAAAACTCAAAGAAATTTTGGCGAATAATGCAAGGAAAGGGAACACTAGGCTTTGAGACTGACACCCTCCTAAAGACCTTAATTCTAATCCAATTCCTCTACAGTTATTCTAAGATCAGTCCCGTGTAGCGAATTTTGTTCTCGTATAGATTACATACAGCGTGTATTCGCGAGGTATAACATATACCTTGCGTGTCCGCCGCGTGTCGCCTCGCGTGTCTCTGTAACCCTGATTCTGAGAGTAATTGAAGAAGGCCAACACAGAACCTCAGTATCTCAGCTTGCTCATCTTATTGCAGCGCTTATGACATAAGGGGTGGTGTGAAGCACCACGCATCCATCCCCACGACACGCATCCGTCAGGTGCTCTCAGCATTCATTCCTTTCAGTCTTGTTAATCAACATAGAGTTATCGTCGTGGAAGATAGTAAGACCAGTACACAATGTTGAACAGTCCGTAAAGAAGTGGAAAGATTTTCCGCGCGTACTGGTCAATGTAATGAGGAGGTAACTGTTTCGTGGGTAGACCGTCCAAAAAGGCATTGCTCGCGCAAGGAGTCTTTTTCCTCGATGCAGAAAGATTTTCGTGAAGAAAAACACCTTTTCTTAGAGACAAGCCTCCTGCGACTCCGTTCAAAGGACGGTCTTTGTTACAGTTGAACGTTTGCTGGTCCATCATCTCGGCGATAGAATTTGTTGGATTTGGTGTTGGAGGCTGAAGAGAAATTATTAATTGAACATTAGAGCGATTTGCAATTGAGTATTGTTAAACTAAAACCAAAGAAATCACAACAGCCAATCACAGCAAGGAAAATGTCACCAGGAGCCAATGAGAAGACGAAGTAAAAACAAGTCACTGCCTGAAGCGCGGGAAAACACGAGTGACCAAGATGGGATTGGTTGAGAAAGTGGCGTGAGTTTTCTGTACTAATCACATAACTAAATACAATAAAACCAAACCAATCCCGGAGTACCAGTTCGACACTCAGTTAAAGATTACTCTGGACTATGATTAGTTTGGTTGATCAAAACAAACTTTACGACCAACAGGCATGGCAACAATAAATCACAGCAATACATCGCTCCATCGCTCCATCGCTTTAAAGCTATGCATTGTTTAAAATTATGCAGACAAAGATAGGTGTAAAAGTAGCTTCTGGAATGAGATTTGAAAATAGCGCAAAGCGATGACCAAAGCTATGTCCCCGTGTGAATGAATTCAACGACTGTTCCGTCCACACGAGCCTGATGATCAGTGAAGGAACGTTCACCTGTTATAATTTACTAGACATTTCGTCGAAGGAATTCCGACTTCAAAAGAAATAGTTTCTATCATTTGCACACCCAAATTCCAGACATTAAGCCAGCAACATAGCTGGTATATTTTTAAACACAGACACAATAGGATTTGCGGGTAAGTTAAGTTCATTTGCGGACAGGAGAAAGTATATTGACATTTCAACAAAGATTAAACAACTGATGACACTCACCGGCGCCAGACTTTGACTCCTCAGTAAGAAAGATGCTGCTTTATCCGTGAAGTTTAAGACACACACATACTCCACCATACAGCACACGATAAAAGTAAGCGACGATATTAAATAGTAATCTACTGCCTTCAGGTACGAGATCCGAGGGAGACTGTTGTTAACTGATCCGAATAAGAACATGGTGCTGAGTATGCACGTGATCACGAGTGAGACACGTGCAGGAACAGCGTGTCTGTCTATCCAGAAACTAAGCCACGAGAGGAAAACGAGGAACGCAGAAGGAATGAAATGTTGAAAAATGAAGTACGTTGTTCGACGTTTGAGTGTGAAGGTTGCCTTCAAACTGTCGAAGGACCCTTCGGAGGATAAAAAAGTGTAGAAAGTTAGGCTTAAAGGTTTCTCTATGCTAGGCGGACAGGGAAACCACCGACACAAAAACCCGGCCCCTTCATATCTTCTCCATTTCTACCTATCTCCTCCGGTCCCCCGGTCCCC